GATTTACTTTTTGTATTATTTTATGAGAAAAATATTAAAGTACCATTTTGCCCTTTTAAAATTAATTAAAAGGTGGTCAAAATCAATTTTTTTGGTCAACTAACGTCAAATTGCATGGAAACCGTCCGTTGGGGGCATCGGTTGTAATGATTTGAAAGATTTGGAGTGACGGTTACAACAATTGAAAGGTTAGGGGAAAGTCTGCCACTATTTAAAAGGTTTGGGGTCTCAGTTATAATTTTTCCTTTAATCAAAGTAGAAATTAAGTTACCATTCATAATCTAAATACGGCAATCCCATAATCTTTTCCTTGACTAAACATGACAATTCCACAATCATTTCTTTAAAAAAATTTAAAATTCAAAAAGTGCACATTGGGTTCTTCAACTACGGAAAGTTATCAATTGGTTCTTTAACTTTCAAAATCTTACACTATGGTCTCAAATTCAAGATTAACAACTATTAGGACTTTTTGAGGGTATTATAACACCCTTAATTACTTTCAACTGTTTTGATACTACTTAATTTCAATTTAAATAAATGAAAAAATTATTTATTTTTACTTATTAGATTAAGAAGACAAGGAACTCGAAATTGATATGATAATGCTAGCTAATTTATTTTTGAGAAAATATATAGTAAATAGGCAACTAGTAGCACGATGACACAATACACACCAAGCATCAAGTATCATTGTTAAAAAGTATTCAATGAGTTTCGACTAAATTATATTGAAATAGAAGTTTTAGAGTGGGGCCCAAAACTATTTTGGAATCACAACCGTATGATTTAACACAAGAAGCTCGCTCCACCTCTACTTTCTTTGTAATTTTTTTCTTTTTTCCCAGATTCTCACGATATAATGGGATTGTATACCAAGGCAAATCACACTATTATAATATTTTACTTCTTGATTACCAAAATTCTAAAATATGTCATTTTAATTTGGGTTAGACGAAACACTCAAATCGAACCGAGTGGTTCGGCTCTTTTTAAGTTATATGCCTGAATGGGTATAACAATTGAAAATTTATATGTTTGGTTTGATTATTAATTTGATTAGGATTGATCTAGGGAATTAATATTAGAATTAGGTAATTAATATTAGAATTTTATAAATAAAGACTTGGAATCCTTCAATTGAATATTGAAAAGGTTGATTATGACTTATGAGGGGATAGGGTTGTGAAGATATTCTGATAGCTTCCAAGTGTGCATGGTGTAATTAATAATGATATCTGATTTTAAAAGGAAATATATAAAATACAACAAAACAAAAGAAAAAGAACACAAAAGAAAAAGATTAAATGGTAAATTTCAACACCAGCCAAAAACTTCGATGAAATTTCAATTTGGCCACTTAACTTTAAATTATCTCAATTGAGCCTCTAAATTTCAATTAGTTTAATTTCAAATTCCATCATCTTTGTCAAACTCCGTCGTCTATTGTCTACTAAATAGAGTCCCATGCTTGAATCATATTTTCTAAAAACTCTATTGTTTAAAACCTCATTTTCAATTATAGATTCTCAATAATAAAATAATTTTGCACGTAACTTCATTATTTTTTCTTATTTTTAAACAATAATTAAAAAAAATCAGTATTACAAAACTCAATTCTTTACAAGAATAAGGATAATATAGAACTCAAAAGTTTTCTTTAGTTGGCTCTCATCTTTTATTTAATCATTACATGACCCATTATAATTAAAAAATTATTAAAATGAGAATTATGCCAATATTATTTAGATTAAAATGTTAAAAGACACATTCTTTATTTTAATACTTTTATACTGTGGTATTGGTAAATTATTATGCTAAACAACTATTACATAAAAGATATTGTTATATGACTATCAATTAATTAATTTTTATCAGACCGTGAGACTGTAGATGACGAATTGATGAAATTCAAACTAAATTACAACATAGTGATTCAATTTTAATTGCAATCCAATAATTCAATAGAGATAAATCAAAGTATAGTGACTCAATAGACATTTCGTTGAAAGTGTAGAGACCGCATATGAAATTTCATCAAAAAATTATAATATTAAGCAAACAAAGGCATATGGGATTCTCGATTGGTGGAACGGTTGCTATCAAATGAAATGAAGATAAGATTCCCATAAGAGTAAGGATGGCATGTTTCGCTAAGCTTAGAAAAGAAAATAGTTACTTTTAAGTAATTTTTTATTTTCAAATATATTTTAATATGACCATGGGCCTTATTTTCAAATTTGAATAAATGGAAAAATTATTTATAATTAGCCTTCGTTTGGCCTCATTTTTTACATCAAAATACATTGTTCAGCAAATATTTTTTAATAAAATAATATTATACATAAATTGATGACTTTTCATTATTTTTAACCACGTATTTTTATCAATACACTGTTCAAAAATATATTTTTTTTACGACGGAGAACCAGCAATCGTTATCCTTAAACCCTCAAATTGACGAAATAGTTTGTCAAAGCACACATTAAAACTTTTGGAGCAAGTCCCTTAGTCAAAGGGTCTGCAATTATTGTCTTTGTATTGATATGCTCTATTTTCGTCGACCCTTTCTTGACTCTATCTCTAACCACTAAATATTTGATATCAATGTGCTTTGATCCGTCCGAACTTTTATTAATCTTTGAAAAGAACACTATTACACTATTATCACAATAAATAATGATTCGTCTCGAGATGGGATCACAACTTTCAAACCAAAGATGAAATTTATTAACCAAACGGCCTCGACGATAGCCCCATAACATGTCACAAATTCAACTTGCATAGCAAAAGATGCCACTAGAGTCTGTTTAGCACTTTTACAAGAAATAGTACCACTAGCTAATGTGAAAATATAACCTGAGGTTGATTTCAAATCATCTTGGCAGCTAACAAAATCTGAATCTGAATAGCCTACCACCTCAAGGTGATTTGAACTCTAGAATGTAAGCATATAACTTTCAATTTTCTTCAAGTATCTCATAACTTTCTTAGCTGCTTTCTAATGCTCTTGTCCTGAATTTGACTGAAACATACTAATGAAACTAACTGCATAGACAATATTCGGTCTAGTACAAATTTGAGCATATATCAAACTCCCTACGATACTTGCATATAGTATCCTTTTCATATGTTCTATTTCTAACTCATTTCTTGGACATGAGTTTTATTAAATTTGTCCCCTTTTAGGATAGGTATATCACCAGGTGCACAATTCTACATATTGAAACTTTCTAGAACATGTCGTATATAAACCTTCTGAAAAAGTCTCAGCAAACCACGATTTCTATGACAATGTATTTCAATGCCAAGCACATAAGTGGCTTCTCCAAAATCTTTCATCTCAAAATTAGCCGACAATATTTTCTTTGTCTCATGAAGCGACCTCAAGTTACTGCTAGTAAGCAAAATGTCATCAACATACAGCACAAAAATAAAATTTCTCCCACTAATTTTGAGATAAATGTATTGATCAATTGTATTTTCGGCAAAACCAAGAGAAGTTACAACCTTGTCAAACTTCAAATACCACTATCGTAATAC